CATAGAAGGCGGCATCCTCCAGATTGAAAACAAAAAAAGAAGAAGAAAAAAAGTCGTAAAAAGGAAAGGGGGTTCCTTTTGTGTATTCTAATTCATAGCTCGTTTAAAAGAAAGGGAAGAAGGGAACGCAAAATAAAAAGAGAGCAATAAAATCTGAATCTCATGACAAAACATGCCACTCCCCTTCTACGTGCATAATATATTCATTGGCGATAGGCGGATCGAATTGTCATAACCAACAGGCTTCACCTAAATTCACATCACCTCATTTTTTTTTTTTTTCACCTCGCCTCACCTTTCCCAAGGGATTCAGTCATCTCCTACTGACCCAAACTCCTCAACGCCTCCTGCTCCCTCGCATTCAACAACGCAAACAGCTCCTGAAACCTCGGCGTGGGCGCAACCTCCCTAAAAAATCCCATCAGATATGCTAACGTCTCATCATCCCTCTGTCTCATCGCCACCCCACCATCCTCACCCAAATACCCCATGAGCTCGTGCTTCGTGATCCCCAATCCAAGATCAAGCACGTTGTCCGGTCCTGAAACATCTTCCCAATCGTCATTCTCGCCGTCGTCGTCATCTTCAGCTTCACCTGTGCGCGATCCCGCTCCTCCCCCAGTTTGGGTACCCCCGGCAGCAGCAGCGGCAGCAGCGGCATCCATATCCCGATTCCCAGACGCAGACAAAAGTTCCTCCGTAAGGACTTTGATAATCTTCAACGGCGCCGAGACAATTGTATAGCGATCTGGGTCCATGCGCGCCTGCGAGCGCGTCTTGATGCGGCCCGTATCCTGAATAATCAGCTCCCCCTTAACCTGCACCTGCACCACGCGCGGGTCATCCAGCTGGTAGATCTTCGACAGCGCAATAACGTTCTGCCGTATCTCGTCGTAGCCCGCGAACGTGATGCTGTTCTCGAGCCACTTGGAGAAGACCACCGTGAGCCCGGACTGCCCGTCTATTGTCAGCGTGGAGAGAAAGTCGACTACCTCGCGTGCACTGATGAGGGATAGCCGTGCGAAGACGAGGATTAGCGATTGGATGAATTGCGCCTTCTGCGCCGTGGCGAGGCGATGCGCGACGGCGTGGAGGAGCTGAGTTAGATATGGTCCTAGTTTCTCGGAGCCGGCTTTCTCGACAAGTTCTGCTGCAAGGCCGCCAACCTCTTCGGCTGCGTTGTCATCGACAGATTGGCTGAGGAGGTGATCAATGATTATCAGAACGACTTCAACGGCGCCTTTGCCTGTTTGTGGGTCTTGCCAGCTGAGGAATTGGGTAGAGTCATGCTGGAGCATGTTTTTCACGGCGATGGTTGCAGCGGGGAGAATGTTTCCTTCAGTCGAGCCAAGCAGGAGGCGGTTGAGTTTGGGCATTATATTTGCTACTAGTCCCTGCGGAAGGGGCTCCAGGCCATATTCGGTCAAGGCACGGATAAGATCTGCAGCAAGGGTTGTGAGGGCGTTTTCCTGGGTCATGTTCCCAACGTCGATAGCGCCGGTTAAGGACGGCAGTACTTTTTCGCAAAGGCGGATATATGCATCGGGTCCCTGCTGAGAAATATATTGGACAACATCTTCAAAGGTCTCTGTGACTATCGTCGCTAGCTGGAAGTTACTTGAACCGTTACTTGCGATGTTGAAAAGGACGTCGAGGGCAATGGACGAGATGACAACACTGGGGTCGATCATGATCGCATCGCGAAGGGTATCAAGCAAGGTAAATTTAAGGTCGTCGCTGTCCAACATCTCTCGTAAATCACGGGACGACAGGAATTCCGATAAGGTGGTGATAATGGGAATTTGCAATGGTTTTGTCACGGATGTTGGAAGTGCGGGTAGGAAATCCTGCAGCACTCGGATACATGAGACTTGGACGACTTCTGACGGATCTTCGCTGATGGCTTTGATGGACGCCTCGAGGTATGACAGCGCAGTCTGATGGAATCCTTCACCTGCGGTCCTTGCAATTATTCCTGAAACAAGATAGCCACGGGCTCGAAGGAATATGTCTTCCTGCGCCATGCAGAAGCGAACGAATTCATTACATCCACTGGCTGCCTCGAGGGAAATCTGCTGATCTACGTCGCTGAAGTCGCGGAGAAGCTGCGTGAGGATGAAAAGCGCAGCTTCGCGTAGTTTCCACCTGTAAAGAAATGTTAGAAACTGAATGTCTCTGTATGGGAATAACGAGGGATAAAATCCACATACGTCGATGTC